GATTATCTTATCTTATCTTATCACTTCCTATTCTGATTAGACACAGTTATTAACATCCTTCTGCTGGTTACAACACCAACCGCAAAACACCATACACTGACGTTATTAAACCTTCAGATGTCCAGCTTTCTCTTGTGAAATACGTAGGTTAGTTACTTACGTCTTAATACATCTCCACAGAGTTTTTTTAACTGTTCATCAGAAGGAGACTTCCCCTGCAATACAGATTAGTCAGTTGGTCAATCTTGAGTTACTATTTCCTTTGTTTCATTTAGCATTCCTGTTGCATAACTGAGATCCTGTTTGTAAATTTTCTTTTTGTTTGAAGGAATACTATCCTTGCTACAGGAACTACTATCTTTATAAAATATTACCACCTTAAAACAGAAAGAGGTTAGACTAACTTCTAAAGAGGTGCTTTATTCATATTAAAGAACTCAGTTAACTTTCTAATTATTCTGGTTGCGTGTCTATTCAACAATCTGTTCATTCATCTTCAGTAATCACTTTATCTTGATCAGGGTCACGGTGGATCTGGAGCCTAGGCAGGGATACAACCTGCATGGTGCGCCAGTCCTGCATATGTATCTGTGCAACATTGCAAATCAGAAGCAAATTGATATTTGGAAAAGTGTACTGCCAGAAGACTCACAGGTTTGCCAGGATATCCTGGAAGACCGGGATGCCCAGGTGACCCATCCTGTCCTGGAGAACCACGTGGTCCTACTACTCCTATATGTCCTATGTCTCCTTTCTTCCCATCAGGGCCTCTAACCCCTGGATCTCCTGGAGCACCTTTCTAGATAGGAGGGAGAAAAAGCTTTTCTGTTACAATGACAAATAGAATCAGTTGATTTGATCTTTTTTTTTTTCAGGTTGGGGAGCTCTACTCCTTCATCTAGGGTACTGTTTCATGGTTTCCCTACTCACTCAGATCTCATTAAACTCTTGAACTCTTTACGTTTTTTTAAATATTTTGTATCCTTTCAAATATTATAACATGGATCAGTACACTCAAAAATCCCTGATATACTGTTTGTCTTAACATAAATAGGACTGACATTATTTAGGGGAACTGCAAGACAAGATTTCTGGATTCTAAGCTTTTACAAAATTATTACCGGTGACTAAACTTTATTACACTTTCTATTACTTACTGGTGCAATGAAAACAAGGAAATACACTGTTTTTTCTTAAACAGGTTTTTTATTTGCAGCTTAAAAAATAACTAATCACATTTATTTTAAGGAAAACAATATCTGACATCCAAATTTATGTGCCATAACTAAAAAAATACTACTGTATATGTTCTTCTTGAAAACCTCCCTGCACTTTAACTGTCAGTTTTGCAGGCATTGCACAATCCTCTCTCGTGCCTCTTTCTGCTTTTGTATAAGGTTTGTGTAGCTGGTTAAACATATCCCCCTCTCAAACCTCACAATCCGGCACAATCCTCACAGCTTGTTTAGCTTCAGGTCAGGTGACTGGACAAGCAGTTTCATTCAGCACTCCCTCCATCCTCTCCAAATAGCTTTTTCACACCTTTGAGGCATTTGGCTCATTGAAACTCAAACATTTAAAAAAAAAAAAAAACTTGTCCCCAAAGGTTTGATGGGCAATCTAAGTCTCATTCATTCTGTATTTTTCTTGCAATGTCACTGTAAGCGAGGGAATAGCACTAGTGGCTCCAGCGCCCTCCATGCACCCTACACTAGAGCTGAAGCTCACTCAGCGTGATACCTGTCAACCTGTCAAATAAAAACATCCCCATGGACACAACTATCACTCCTCTAAAATGCATAACTATCAAGTTCCTTCAGCAGGAGGAAACAATGTTCTTTCCTGTGTAAAACGAGGTCGAACAGATTAAAATGCAATTTGTGAGTCTAATTCTACAAACCTCTCCTTTGCTTCCCCTGAGTCCCGCTTCACCCTTGTAACAGAAGGCAGAAAGAGAGAAAAAAACACAACTGTTAACAATTCTCACATTAATATCAAAGAGAAAAAAGTCTGTTTATTTATTTTTAAAAAAGACATTTGAGAATCAATGAGATTGGAGAAGAGGAGGTGAAGGGAGAGTGAGGTGAAGGTGATGTAACAAAAAAAACAAAAAAAAAAAACACTTTCCTGTATATGTCCATTGCTTAGTTTACGGTCTTTCATTTTGATCTGATGAAAGTGGTGTTTTTCTAATGATGCAAGTGAAAGCTATGTATTGATTATTTGTCACAAAGAAAAGACTTGTGTCTTCTACACCTACACAGCATGTATAAAGCCAAAATATCTATACTGTGTTTTCCAGTTGTGAACTAAAAGGTTAGAAGTTAATAACTGTGCTACAGCACACATACAGTAAAGAGATATTCTTCCCGTTTTCAAAATATAGACACTTTGAATGTATATTTTCTTTACCACTTCGCTGATACAATCTCCAATTAGTCCAATTAATTTCCCAAAGTCCATCTCTGCGATTTAATCTTACAATATATATCATGTATACTTTGTAACAAGTTATAGCTAGATGATGAATCTCATCCTGTCATCCTGTCCATCAGTGGCCAATTCACATGCATTGTGCTGCCCCCTAGTGGACAGATGGTGTGTGCGCTCTCACCGGTGGCCCAGGCACACCGGGTGTTCCCTCACTTCCTCTTTCACCCTGAAAGAGAATGAAAGGTGGTCTCTGTTAGGGGGTCTCTGATATTAAAAGGGTATCATTAGCATTTAATACACAAAAGCAGCCTGAGGCTAAGAGCAACATTTGGGAGAGCATGCTGTGACATACAATGCAGATTTAAGCTGGTGCCAAGAACACAGATCGTATCACAGGAAATCACCACAAATCATCCGATGGCAGCTCTAGTTCTTTTGGTTTAAGTATTATATGTTTTAGTATTTAGCTGAGATAGCCACTGGATTCATAAATGTCATCTAATTTTAACTTTGGCTGACAAAAGTGAAACAAGGATCAAAATGGCTCTACCTGATCACCCTTTGGACCAGGTTCTCCCATATCCCCCTGTGAAACAGAATTAATATTATAACGGTAGGTCGAGAGAGACCTTGTCAGTGGGAATTTTAGGACAGGCTGCACAGCTAATCACTGAACTGCAAATGATATAGCACAGCTGATGCAGACTAAACCCTTGACTATGGAAAATCAACTCTAGGCTTTGAGGATTTCTCCTTGACTTTTATGATGACTTACCTTATGTCCTTTAAAGCCAGGAAGACCAACAGCACCTTGTAAACCTGGAAAACCTGGTTCTCCCTGTGAGCCCTGTCAACGTTTAAACATATCTGAATGAGTTTGAGGACCCAAAATCGTTTATCTTGTACATTTGGGGTAAGTTAGGACTGAAAGTTTAGAATAATTACAGTGAACTGATAAAAAGTCTTTCAATTAAACATAAACTGTGTTCATTAAGCAAGAAGCCATATGACTGCAATCAAATAATACTCCAATGCAAGATATTTAGGCACAGATATATCTATTTAAGGTGAAATTTGTCATTTTAAACATGTTTTGGTAGCACTTTGCAACACTGTTGAATAACTCATTGCAGGAATGAATGAGTAGTACTAACAGTAGTATTAAAATGTATCACTAATATTAACTACTAATGAATACTAGGTAATTACTCAGTAAATAATAATAAAGTAATAGTATGGTAGTTCATTTTTAACTAAGCAATAATTATAACGGAGTTTTATATATCTCCTGGAGAACTACTAGCTGAGTAGTCATTAGTTACCTATGAGTTATTAAACAGTACTATGAAGTGTTACTCATGTTTCTAGACATATAGAATCATATAATTATAACATTCTCAAGTCATGGATATCACTCGTTTCTTAATTTTACCCTTCGTTTGCATTTTCCAGCCCAGAAATTAGGAAGGGTGGTATGTAATGATAAGTAGTTAAGATATGAGGTTTCACCAGAGGGGAAAAGTAGAAAGCTTCTTAATATGTTAATATTTTCATTACAGTTGCAATCCATCTCACATGGATTAGGAAGCTCTAAAAATTACAAACTGATCCATTAGAATGGTTCATTCAAAGGAGTTTGAATAAGTTAAATCTCACCTTTTGGCCTGGCACACCCGGACGACCAGGCGGTCCCTGTTGTCCTGGACTTCCCTATATATGTAGATAGAATTAACAAACCATACAATCACACACACACATACCCTTTCATGCATTGTGCATGATGTGCACAATGTCCTTACTGTCAGGCATTTGTTAGTAATCTGTTCGATAAGAATATAATTTTT